AAAAAAAAAAAAAAAAAAGACCAAATACTCTTCGTTTTTACTTTTTGGTTAGTTCCTACTATATAAATATAAATAGTAGTTGCAACCCTGCAGGTCTCTTCATTTCTCTCAACTTGCTTTCTGCTTAAGCAAGATGGCTGAAACTTTTCTTGGTACTGTCATAGAAGAGGCACTTTGCAAATTGGCATCGTTTAATGCTGGACAGATCCGCTTTGCATGGGGTTTGGAGAAGGAGTTGTCAAAGCTTCGCAGTTCACTCAAGCTGATTCAACATGGGCTCCAAAGTGCAGAGGAATTACAAAGTGAGGCGGTAATACGGGATTGGCTACAGGAGCTCAAAGACGTTGCTTATGATATGGTGGATGTACTAGATGAGGTTGAATATAAGGTACTCCAACAGAAAGTAGAGACTCAAAGCCAAATGAAAAGGGTGCGCAGCTTTTTCTCTCCCTCAAATCCCATTGCATTTCGTTTCAACATGGCTAATAAAGTTAAGAAGATTAATGGGTCTCTTGTTAAAGTAAGAGAAGATGCAGTTTTTACTATTCTTCTTGCTAGAAACAAAAGCCCCCGGGTTGGCAAATTCCAGCCTGATACTCACTCCTTTCTAGATTCAAATTTTGAATCAAGAGGGGATGGAAGATGTCACAGAAATTGTTAACTTGTTGAGTGAACAAAGGAGTCATCAGTATCCCATCTCTGTCATTTCTTTGATTGGCATGGCAGGAGTTGGAAAGACAACTTTAGCAAAATTGCTAAAAAAAGAAATAGAAAAGATAAAAATGTTTGATGAAGTAGCATGGGTGTGTGTGTCTGATGATTTTGATGAACGGAGAGTTTTGAAAGGGATGTTGGAATATCATGATCAGAATGCTGGTGGAATAAATAATATTGATGTATTGCTCAATTAACTTGAGGAAAAGTTAGAAAAGAAAACTTTCTTCTTGACATTGATGATGTGTGGGAGGATAATCCCAATACTTGGGCTGCTTTTAGTGGTCTTTTGTCAAAATTTGTGAAAACTAGTGGGAACTCCATTGTTGTAAGCACTCGTAAAGAAGAGGTGGCATCATCCATAGAAAAGTATCTTCCTTTGCAAAGGCATCATTTAAAAAAGCTATCAGATGATGATTGTTGGCTGATAATAAAATAAAAGGTTTTTGGATCTACAGAGGCATCCATAACTGATCAGCAGTTAGAGGCTATTGGTAGGGATATTGCAGAAAAATGTGGAGGCCTGCCATTAATTGCAAATGTTTTGGGAGGAACAATGTGTAATGTAAAGAGAGTAGATGGGTGGTTGTCTATAAAAGATAAAATTGTTTGGAATTTAGAAGATTTTGATAAGATAAAATTTGTACTTAAACTAAGTTTTGATCATTTGCCTTCACATTTGAAGAAATGCTTTTCCTTTTGTTCAATTTTTCCAAAAGATTTTGATTTTGAAAAAGATGATTTAGTTCAGCATTGGATGGCTTAAGGATTTCTTTTCTCATCTAGTCAAAAAATGATGGAAGATATTGGGAACAAGTATGTCAGTGATCTAATATTTAACTGCTTAATTGTTCCAAGATGTAGAGAGGGATATATATGGAACATCATATCCTTCAAGATGCATGATGTGGTGCATGATCTTGCCCTGTTGGGCATGTTTTCATCAGCTTGTTTTCCGATCATGTCATGTCATGTCATGCCACAAGGTTCTGGACCTAAACCATGAAATCGAGAGACTTAATATCAGAGAAGAAAAAGAGAAAACGGAGGAACGTTGGAAGACGAGGGTGTAATGAAAGGGGAGATAGGAATACAGACGGAGTGGTATTGACCCATCTTGCTCATCGGGACAATGTCGCCTGGCCTGTAAACGGAAGTTATGGAAGAAAACGAGAGTGATGGTAAAATTAACAGTAGCGCTGCCATTCGTCGTCAACCTCTTGGCGGCAGTTGGGAATTGGCTAATGGCCATTTGATTTTTTTTTTTTTTTTTTTTTTAACAAAAGTGGAATTGTGGGGATGCGGGAAATATGAAATGAAGAAAAATGAAGAAAAAAAAAAAAAGATTGATGCTATTATCTGTTGGTTTTTCTATTAGACAAAATAGCATGTTGGGTTGAGTGGAGGGGAGAATCTTCCATTTCCCTTAAACCATTAATTTCATATTTTTATAACAAAAAGTGTTTTATGGAGATTATTGTATATTAAAAAATGTAATTTATTTTATGAATTTATTTAAATATTTTTAATAAAATTATTTTTTATATTATTTAATTAAATATATTTAAATAAATTTATAAGATGAATTATACTTTTAATGTAAAATTCATCTTGTAAAAGATAAATATCTTTTTATAATTAATTTATATAAAAAATAAAAATTAATTTTAAATTTATCAATTACTTAATTTAAATTATATATGTGACATCAATGTTAAAATAGGAGATTAGTGTAGTATAGGTTATTTTTCTAAATTTTTTTTTCCAAGAACTTATCTAAAAACTCACATTTTAATTAATATTTTCAAAAACCAATTATTAGATTAAAAGTTTTGTTCATTTAGATCATATATGTCAATTTTCATTTTAATCTAATACTTATAACTTTTTAATAAAAAAAATTATATTGATTGACATATATTTAACAATATTAAATCTTCTATAATTAACGAAGTAGTTAAGTCTATTAAAATAATTTAAAAATTAACATACATAATTTATATGAATATAACTTTTAATTTAATTATTGATTTTTTAAAATATTAATTAAAAAATAAGTTTTTAAATATGTTCTTTAAACAAATTTTGAGAGAATAACCTAAAAAATACTTTTCTTTAAAAATAATATCTACTTTTATATATATTTTTTATAAAAATTTATTGTAAAAAGATATAATTACTTCATTCTTAACTTATGTATTGAAAAAAAACTCTAGTACTTTTTAAGATCATCTCCTATCATTTACCAAAAATTATTTAACATCTTTCTGGACATGGAGCAGTTCCATATTGAAAAAATATGTAAAGAAAAAGTGGATTAAATATATTAAAACCTATAAAATTATTTAATTTATCTTCTAATTTTAAGATGATATCAAAATATGGGATGGGTTACTAAATGTTTCTCCAACAAAATCCACCAAGGATTAATATCTCTACACAAAACAGGAGGTGGTGCCCTCTTCCTATGGATTGGCTCAAGTTGAATACTGATGCTGCTAATGATGAGGGGAAAGGAGTGGTGGGAGCTAGAGTTAACTCTTGCGCATCTATTGTTCAGCATGGTAGTTCTCCCCATGTTGGTGAAGCACGGGCACTTTAGTCAGCTCTTAGACATGCCCAACATTTTGGCATTACTAGAGCTTTTTTCGAATCGGATAGTTGTATATATAGTTGTGTTTTTTTTTATCAACCAAAGAGATGATTAAATTAAATGGAGTACAAGGGGTACTCCTACCCATATTGTACAGGAATACTTACATAATAACAAAAGTAAATCAAGACTTATAGATGATTCATCAAAAACTTAAGATATGTTGGCTATAAACTAAGCCTTAGCAGTCATCACCCTCTTGCATGCCTGAATTGGGTCTGAAAGCCATAGCTCCTTAGATATATTTGGCCAAAGACTAGCTTTCAACCACATCCATGATCGTATCTTGATCAGCTCAACTATATTGCTAAAAGAGTCGGTGTATTCCTTGAATACCTTTTGGTTTCTCCATATCCATAGTGACCAAATAACTGCAAACCAGGTTACAAGCCATGCTTGTTTTGATTTTTCTTCAAAGAAGAGATCTGCGTGCTATTGCAAATGGTTCCAGCCTTCATAGTGTTGAGGAACAGCAATACCCCACCAATTATAGCAAGAGGACCAAACAAGCCATGCTGTTCTGCAAGTGAATAGAAGGTGATTTGTTTCTTCAGGATATTGTCCGCATAAAGTGCATGTCAAATCCCTCTCAATGCTTCTTATTCCCCTTTTCCACAAGTTATCCTTTGTTGGAATTTTGTTTTGAGTGGCTTTCCAAGCAAACACCGAGACCTTTAGGGGTACATTTTTATTCCAAATCAGCTTGTAGTTATCTATTCTACCTGGGCTGGAGTTGATTTGAAGCAGATTGTAAGCTGATTTCACCGTGTATTTACCCTTGTGGTCTTGCTGCCAAGCCCAATAGTCCTCTTGTCCCTGGATTAGTTGTTTCCCTCGTAATGTGTTTGTGAGTTCCTGCAAAAGCTCAAGTTCCCAATCCAAAAGATTCCTCCTCCGTTGTATATATAGTTGTTAATTGTGTTTTGGGCAAGCAGGTGTTAGTACCACGTGAGATACGCTCAATTGTGGAGGATATCAAGCTTAGGTTGTTTTCTAAGCATCATATTTTGTTTTTCAGATTTCGAGAAAATCCAATAGAGCTGCAAATTGGGTGGCACGCCATGTACCGAAAGGAAAGTGTCCATATTATTGCCCTCAACATTCAACATCCCTCAAATGCATTACGTGATGTGCTATGATGTGCTACCAACGAGGAGTTGGATCAAGTGGTAAGCGGTTTGTTCCAACTTAAACAACATTTTGAGTTCGAAATTTTATGTACGCAGCAGCTTTCACTGGGAGACTCACATACCATTTTCAGGTGCGCGACGCGGGTCGAGTCTGGATTAGTCGGGGCGAAACCCCAGATACCGGGCGAGAAACCAAAAAAAAAAATTTATGTGATATGCTTGTATCTGATATAAAGTAATAGGCCAACGATTAGTACACTTTTCAGTTTAATATATTATATAATATATTTATAAAAAAATTATTATTTTTAAATATAAAATTAAAAATAAATAACTTTAATGATACAATCATGTATACAGAATATAAAAATCGATTGAATTAATTGTATTTATATTATATTTTTAATAATTATACCAAAAATATATAAAAAATTATGTTAAAACGAGAGTATATCCATCATTTTTCAAAGTAATATATAGTTCTACATCAAATGTATAGTTTTTGCTACTGTACTATTTATGTTAATGAAATGAATTATATCCGTCTTTCCGAAAAAAAAAAAAAGGGTCCGTTAACATCTTGCCCAATTTTATTGACTTTGCAGCCGGCCTATATTTGTAGGTTTTTGGTGGGGAGTTTAATTCTTGCTGTGGCATTAATTATAGTAATTTTTTCTCATTAGTTTGCTCCTCGCCTATATTTGTAG